TGAAAAGGGGTCCATAGCTGGAGGAGTTAATCTCCAACTACACTTAGACTCTTATCTATTGAATCAGAATCTTTATGAAGGCTGGGGTAGGAATGTGTAATTTATTTGTTTAAATTTTTTGAGAGGCAGGAGAAAGAGAAGAATGCTTGAGTGCCCCTATCTGTTGGCTCATTCCCCAAATGCCAATCACCACTGGGTAGCTGAAGCCAGAGGGAGCTGGGAACTCCACCTAGGTCTAACTCCCAGTTAGGTGTCAGGAACTCGGTCACCTCAGCTATTGCTGCTGCCTCCCAGGGTCTGCATTTTTTAAACATTTATTTGAGGGAAGGGGACACACACACACACACACACACATACACATAGAGATAGAGAGAGATTGATTTTCCATCCACTAGTACACACCCCAAATGGCTACAGTGGTCAGAGCTGAGCCATGTTGAAGTTAGGAGCCTGGAACTCCATCGAGATCTCCCACATGCATGGCAGGGGCCCTAGCACTTGGGCCATTTTCTGCTAATTTCTCAGGTGCATTAGCAGGGAGCTAGATTGGAAGTGGAGCAGCCAGAATTTGAACCAGTACTCATATATAGTTTAACCTGCTGTGCCACAAAGTTACCCACCCCACCCTGCCTCATATGCCAGGGTCAGCATTGCCAGGAAGCTGGAGTCAGAACTTGAACCCAAGCATTCTGTTGTAGAATGTGGGCTTCTTAATCGAATGGCCACCCCAGAATCGGTGATTCTAGAAAGTACCTCCAGGTAATTTTGATGACTACGTAGGTTTGGGGACCACAAAGCTCCATGGTTTTCAAGACCTCTTCCCACCTTATAATTGCATACAGCTCAGTTGTCTCTCCTAGCCGCTGGACTTCTGTAAAATCGTTGGATGTTGTCCTTGTGGATGGGAAGTAGAATTTCAAGTGTTGCTCACTAGTTCTCACAAAATGAGTCAGACGGGTAAATCAAACTTTACTCACTAGAGGGTTATTTTTGTGTAAGAGGAGAAACAAAAGTCCTGAGACCACATCTCATTCCCTCTGCTTTCCCATTGTCGTTATCCTGCAGCTTTGCTGTTGATTTTATTACTATTCAACACAGATCTGCAGTAATACCAGGTACCACTTATTGTACCAAGGAGTGTTCCTAGAACTCTTCTGGAAATACTTCATTTAATTTCCCCCAAATCATGCAAGGCACATATTAACCTTCCATTTTATAAACAAGGACAGTAAACATCAAGGATGTAAGCATTTTGCCTGGAGTCCCCTGGTAATATATAACCTCTGTGCGCATGCAGGCAATAGCATGTCAGAGATGTAGAGTGTAAAGGAAACTCAACACAGTGCCTTCATTCCTCAGACTTGTAAACAGACACTGAGAAGTAAACTATCCAACAGGCTAGGCAGTGGATGGCACTGGCGTCAGAATCCATGTCCCCTAACCAGTTCCAATGTGTAAGTATACGATCACTGCCTTGAAATTCTTTGATGTTTCCTTTCATAGAGGCTGTGAGCTTCTTATAGGCACAAATTCATCTTATGCCTCATTAAGTCATTGTGCCTAGGATAAAGGGGAACGGGGCCACTGAATGGGTGGATGGTAGTCCAGATGAGAGGAAGAACATCTGACTTGCAGAATGACCCACCTCCAACAGTATACATTTGTATCTATGATCACAAGTAGGAAGAGTTGTTTCTGTTATGTACATAGTGGAAAGGAGTACATGGGATTCAGAGCCCAAAAAGATTTTGGATTTTGATCCAGTTTCTTTTCTTTGAAACTGTGGGCAAACTATTGAACTCTAAGCCCTAGTTTTCCCATTTAGACATGGAGAGATTAATACATACTTTAAAAGTAAAAGCATGCTGCACACAGAGCATGACACATGTTGGGCAAAATCGGTATGACTCGTCTCCAGTCTCCTAGGAGGCAGCATAATCTCAGGGAGAAGGTTGGTGCTCTGATCAAAGAGGTTGCATTGCTGATGCAGTGAGGGCTACTGGAGGTTGATCTTGGTGCCAGTCTGTTATCCCAGGAAATGTGTCTGTTTATATCAAATCAAGAAAGAAGTACATCGAGTTTGATAGTTGCACTATTCACAACAACCCAGAGGTGAAATCACCACATTTCCATTAATGGATGAATGAATAAGCAAAATATGTTATATATAAACCACAGAATATTATGCAGCTGGGGCCGGCACTGTGGCCTAGCAGGTGAAGCTGCCACCTGCAATGCTGGCATCCCATGTGGGCGCTGGTTCAATTCCCAGCTGCTCCACTTCCTATGCCATTCTCTGCTATGGCCTGGGAAAGCAGTGGAGGATGGTCCATGTCCTTGGGCCCCTGAACCCGTGTGGGAGACCTGGAGAAAGCTCCTGGCTCCTGGCTTCAGATCAGCGCAGTTGTTGCAGCCATCTAGGGCATGAACCAGCAAATGGAAGTCTCTCTTTCTCTCTCTGCCTTTTGTTCTCTCTGTGTGTAGCTTTGACTTTTAAATAAATAAATCTTTATTAAAAAAAAAAAGAATGCTATGCAGCCTTAAGGAGGAGGAAATTCTGAAACATGCCATGTATGGATGAACCTTGGACGTTGTGCTAAGAGATATAAATGAGCATTCATTACTCTCAGTAGCTCATACAAGTAGAAGCATACAAGCTCATAGAAATAAAAAATAGAGTGGTGCTTGCTAGGAGGTGGTAGAAGGAGGAATGCAGAGTTCTTGTCTAATGAGTGCAGAGTTTGTAAGTTTTGCAAGAAGAAAAGTCATGCGGAGATGACGCCACCACTGGACGAAAACCTTTAACAGAACATTCCAGAATGCTGGAGGGAAGTGGGCGGGTGGCCGCTGTGGGGTCACCAGTGTCATCTCCGGGAACAGCTTTCTGCTGTGGCCTGGAAAAGCAGGAGAAGATGGCCCAAGTCCTGCACCCACATGGGAGACCTGGAAGAAGCTCCTGGCTCCGGATTGGCACAGCTCTGGCCATTGTGGCCATTTGAGGAGTGAACCAGCAGATGGAAGACCTCTCTCTCTCTGCCTCTGCTTCTCTCTCTGTGTAACTCTTGATTTTCAAATAAATAAATAAATAAATAAATCTTTAAAAAAAAAAAGTTCTGGAGATTGGTTACACAAAAATGTCAATGTAATTCTGACCACAGAACTATACACTCAAAAATGCCCAGATGGTATATTTTGTGTTGTATGTATTTTGCCACAATTTAAAAATGTTAAAGGAAAAGAGTATAGGGGCTATGATTATTATTATTTTATTATTGTTGCATACAAAACTCCTTTTTTTTGTCTTCCTTGAGCCCAACCTAAGAACCTGAAGCCATTTCTTTGGAGGCTAAACTCTATCCATGGTGCAACAGGTGGGAAATAGCTTCATAATTTTCAGATTAGCAGACTTTTTCTGCTAATGTCTTGCTAATTATCATGTAGACTTAGCATTGAACCATAATTATTATCAGTTAATTAGACCTTAAAATGTATTTTTGATAACACCTCTGGCATTTAATTATGTAACTAGTAACTTATGAATGTTATTAAGGGGATATATAACTACAGTAAAGTATAATTAGATCTCATTTTTGTTCCTTGATATCATATTGATTATGATAATAGTTTTTACAGCTTATTTGGAAATGGTCACATTAAATTGATAGTCTATAAAACAAACATCCATTTTAACAGATATTTTAACAAATATTTTAAAAAGGGAAGTCATGAGAAAAAGTAGATGATTATTCTTAATGCTGTTTAACAAAAGTTCACAATAAATAAATAGTTTTCAAGGTTACTTTTTGCCTACAGACAAATAACATTCAAGAGCTTGTATCCTAAATAATTAATTCCTATTGTTGGAAAACAGAAACAACTGCCCAAGTGTTTCTTTGTTTTTTTTTTTTTTTTTTTTTGACAGGCAGAGTGGACAGTGAGAGAGAGAGACAGAGAGAAAGGTCTTCCTTTGCCGTTGGTTCACCCTCCAATGGCCACCATGGCCGGCGCACTGCGCTGATCCGATGGCAGGAGGCAGGTACTTCTCCTGGTCTCCCATGGGGTGCAGGGCCCAAGTACTTGGGCCATCCTCCACTGCACTCCCTGGCCACAGCAGAGAGCTGGCCTGGAAGAGGGGCAACTGGGACAGAATCCGGCACCCTGACCGGGACTAGAACCCGGTGTGCTGGCGCCGCAAGGCGGAGGATTAGCCTAGTGAGCCGCAGCGCTGGCACCCAAGTGTTTCTATTATTGCAAAAGTAACAAACATTTTCCCCATTAGTTTCTCCAATAGTTGTGTACACATCACTTTATTTTACACGTGCTAATATTCATTTAAGAAGTATACAGTAAGTCTTTTTTAAAGAAATTGTTTTTAGAATAATGTAGTTAATTTCAAATCTTTGTAGTAGAATTAAAGATCAGCTTGAAGTCAGATCTTCTGGAAGGACTGGTTAGTAGAGTCTGAGCCCCTTAGAGACAAAGTTCTATCTTATTTACATCTTAGTATCATTTGTAATTCCCAATGATGTGGTCTACACATAGTAGGTGTTTAATTACTACTCATGGCCTGCTGAGTGAGAAAGCTGGGAGGAAATCAAAGAAACTCTGTTTTATGTACTTTTTCTCCAAAATGAGTTTCAGCAAACACACACTGAGGAAATAAATCAGGATTCTCACTTGGAAAGCATACTCAGAGTCTGGTGAATTAATGGATACTTGGCCAAAGAGGATATAAGGAATAATGGTCCAAAACAGTGCCAACTCTGGCAGCAGAGTCTGGTGTGAAATAAGCCACATGCAACAAATCCAGGCTGACGAAATGATGAAATCCAAATGGCTTTGATGTGAATATTTGTGTAACTCACTTACGTTTTCTTTCACCGAAATGAGTGATCCTTGCATAGAAGTAAGTAGGTAATATTCTTGATCAAAGAGCTGTGTCCTAGGCTGTAGGGCTTTGTGGAAAGAACGCCAGAACAGTCAAGGGAGATGTACTAGCTGTGATCTTCAGCAACCACGTAATGTCTCTGTGACTGTGTCCTCACCTGTAAAAGGGAGCAATTAGTGTTTTTGCTGCAGGGATGTTGTCAGGGTAAGAGAAAATAGTTGCAAAGCATATGTTTGGTGCTTAATAAATGGCAAGGAATGTTCTTATGACTGTAAGGAGCTCAGATGCAAAGTGCAATGGTGCTGAAAAAGAGAAACCAATTAACCCATAAAGAACACATACATAGAAGTAAAACCAAAAAGACAAAACTAACTTGCAGAAGCTGTAGATGTGTTTTGGGAAGGAGTAATTGTTTACCCAAAGCATCTTAAGTGCATTTTGTTTTGGGAAGAAGGGAGCCACGTCCAGCAAAGGGGCCTGAGAGACCGCAGGCCTGAGTCCCGGTCTGGTTTCCTCTATGGGTTGTGTCACCTTGAACAAGTCATTTAAATTTAAAGTAAGGAGACTGAGTGAGTCTTTCAGATTCCTTCCAGATCTGTGATAATGAAGGCCTGGGAATAGGAATAGTGGGGGTTTGGATTCAGATACAAAGAAATATCCTATTTTGAGTCCCAAGTCTTTGATGCTGTTTCTTGCTATAAAATTGTGTAAAAATAAGTATTTTGTCAGGATTATTGAGAAGAATAGCATATTAGCGTATTAAGGAGACTCACAGTGTGATAAGTGTTCTGTCATTTCCCTTCTCTTTTACTCAGTCACGTTGTAGGTCAAGCACACATCTCAAGCTGTGCAGTCACAGATAGGAAGTAGGCTTTCCGGAGACAGAGGCTGATGATGAAGACTTTATGTTTCTGTAAGACTTTACCTGCTCTGAGAGAGCTCCCTGCTTAGCTTCTGTGGAAATTCACCACCCTGTTTATCTGTTCCAGAAGTCCTTCTACTAGGCTACACCTTGATTAGACATCCAAGGTTAGGCATTGCCTGTAGAATGTCATGTCATCGAAAGAGGGTAGAGAGTTCTAAGGTGTTTATGCATATATATATCTGTATATATTACCATTTAGTCCAACCTAGGGTAGTATACATTAAGTAGCTATTTCCTGGGAAAAGGCAGAAACATTTAGCCATATAATGCATAGCAGTGGGCACAGAATTAGCCAGACATGGGTTTAAATCAGGCGCCCTTCATTTTGTAATTCTGTACCATTTATGCTCTCAAAGACCCAGTTTCCTCATCTGTAGTGTGGGGCTAGTAACAGCACCCACCACATAAGCACTATTGTAGGCATTAAATGAGATATTTGTGATATGCTCTGCATGATACTTAGCACAAAATAAGTCCTTAGTATGCAGAGATACAAGATCATTTCAATACATACGTTTGTCGATGAAGAAGTGAGGCCCAGGGGAACTGGGTGACCCACCTATGCTGCTGTATAAAGGGAAAAATAGACTCATAGTCCGCTGATACTCGAGGTCTATGTTTTTGAGGATTTTTTTCTATTTGCAATGCTTACTACCTGGAAACCTTGAATAATAAAGAAATGAAACTGCTTTTGAAGGTATTTGTTTATCAAAGAGGAGTTAGATTACCAGCACTTTCTTCTCACACAATCTGGCTTCTGTCCCCTGATGCTTCTGGTGTGTTATTACACTTCTTAGAAGTTGGGTCCTAATTCTGGGTTGTAGTAAAATGTTGATAGAAATTGAACTTGAAGCCTTTCAAATCAAACTTCACATACCTTATCTGTAGAGGAGATGTGAGGTTACAATCCAGAGACCACCCAAGCATACCAATAGGTAGCAGAATGACTTCACCTTTTAATAGAAAATAATCCATTTCTGAGAAACCATCATGGCAATTTTGTACAATTGAACTTCGTCTTTAACCTTTTACTATGATTGATGTGATTAGGCCACTGGAGGAAGTGGTTCTCAACAGCATGATTAAAACACTTTGAGGAAATAATTTCTGTCTTGAAGCACCTTGCATGCATTCTTTTTTCAAGTGTTTGTCCTTTCTCATCAAAAGAAGAGCCAGGAAATGGAGAAATATTGACTTTTAAACGTTGTCTTAGACAGAAACGAAAATCATAAAACAGCAGGGTCAGCATCAGGGTGCTGTCTTCAGCAGTCCTGGGCAGCAGGCTTTCTTGGATGATGAACACTGGGTCTGAGGGCACACTATTTCAGCATTTCCCAGATTTGAGAATTTTACCCACTTACCCGATTTTTCTTTCCCTAAAGTTAGGAAATTTGCCAATTTTGAAATCTATTAAGGACTTATTTAAAACAACAGCAATACATGACTGCCATCTACTATGAACCAATTTTACTGAAAAAAAATCATGTTTTAATAAAATAGTAGGAAGGATATAATTTTATAATAATGAACAATCTTGTCAAGAAATGGCAGTCGTTGCATGGTTCTTTGGGTTTCTCATTTTGCTCTGTTTGGAATGACCTGCTCAAATTCAGTTTGGACTAATTATAAGTGAAAAATGTTTCATTCTGCTTCTGTATTTGCTTAGACAATGTCCAGAGGTTCCCAAATAGACTTCAAAATCAATGGAATTTATAGGTAATGTATGTAGGTACAGCTAAACATAATGACATTAACAGATCTGAAGATTCCAAATCATCACTATGAACTCTACCTGTACTATACCATTTTCTTTTTGGTTACAAGGTCTTGTTCCAATGGCTCACAAATGCTTATATCTCAGCAAAAATGAGAAGTGGTATATTCTTTCTAGAAAGAGTAGGTTGGCAGGTGACCTATCTGAGTTCATGGACTCACTGAGTAGTGATTAACATTTAAAATGTATGCAAAGTAGACTCCTAATTAAAGTCCAATAATGTAAGGCTTTGAACCTATTCACTGCTTTTGGAAATAATCCTAGATGTGGGTTGCTCATCATGAAAAAGTCATTATGGTAAATGACCAACTCCCCCACCTTTCCATCAACTGCAAAAGTGATTCTCCATTGCAGATTTGCAAGTAGTGCATGTTGCACAAATGTGTCCTGGTAGCTGTAATTGTTATGCAAATTATCTTGATTAGAAGAAAAAATAACATTTACAGGGCTCCTATCCTATGTGAATTTGCAAGCATGTACCAAATTCAGGTGTTGACTTGAGAGATCATCAATAACTCACAGTGGCGGTGATAAAGAAGGAAGGACCATTCTTCCTCCCATCTCTATTCCTGCCTTGTTTTACTGACTCTTTGTGGGAGGATGGATATGCAACACAGTGAGGCAATCAGAAAAAAGTAATGAAATGCAAAAAAGGTCAGAAGATAAAAATATTCATGAACCAGATGTTAGTGGCAGATAGAAAAATTACTGCCAATTTATTTGCCAAAGATAGACAATTCAGGTGACAAAGATATCAGTACAGAAAAAATTGAAGCTGAGGACCAACATTTATTGTACATTTGATATGTGCCACAGAATCTAGTAGATATGCCGCACATGTTCCGACTGACCTCTATGAGAGTCTGATGAAACAGGTAGTGTTGGTTTATAGATGAGGAACCTGAGACTCAGAGCACTTGCTGACCATCCATAAAGGTCTAATATCTCAGAGTTAAACTTCAGTTCTAAATATAATTTGAATATTCATGGCCTTTCTCACCTTCAAGTTGCCTCCCAGAATTACTCACTTGGAAATGAACTTCTAGGACATATGGTTCCAGATCTGTGGCTTCCCTACCTCATTCACCTGGATGTCAATGCCACAGAGCCCATGTGACTGTGATAGCTATTTCCTGTGCAAGTAGTGCAAGAATGGAATGTATAAAGGGCTTGGGGCAGCTGTTCAGTGTTGCTCATCAAGATGTCTCGCCATTTTCCATGTGATAGGTCTGGAGTAAGTAATTTAATGTTTGCTTGCAGGAAGCGAATATTGAAATATAGTCAGCAGATGACGTTCACTTTCACCTTTGGTAAATCATCCATCTGATGACAACATTTAAGGAATTCAGGTTATTTCTTTGAAGAATTATGAGCAGAAAGTGATTATGAGCTATGAGAGAAGGAAGTATCTACTCTTGTCCTGTCTCTGGGCTAGTAGACTTTCTCAAAGGTTTGTGAGGCTCAGGACATGAGTACAGATAGAAGCCTAGATACCACATGTCTAAATATTTCCAATTGCCGATTAAAATAGCAAACTGTTAAATACCTCTCTCGTTGCAATTTACAAAGTTTTTTTTAGTGACAATGAATATCTGGTTTGAATTTAGACTTCCTGAACTCCATTGCTCTCTGCTCTGTAATGGGGGGAGTATAAGGAGAGGAGGCCCCAAGTGTGGACTGCGGTTCACTGCTCCTGTCTTCTCACCCTCACATATCCTGCTTTACAAGAGGACTCGGAGGCACACATGGAATCAGGCCAGGCTAGCTCATACATCCAAACGGCATCCTGAAGTCCACAAATACCTCCCCTCTGTCTCTCCACCCTTCAGGTCCAGGGATGGGACCCTGAGATGCAGTTGTGTGATGGGGACAGAGCTGGGGAAGAAGGTCACACTGATCCTAGAAGCAGTTCAGGGGCAGTTGCAGGGCATCTGGAACTCAGAGGTTGTCTGGGGGAGGCATGGGGTCCGGGTGGGCATGTCTTCTCTGGCACTTCTCACCCCAGGGGAAGACATGTGGTTGGAGGGAACCCTGGAGTAGTGGCTTGTAAGCATTGGGACCTAGGGCGGGCCCCTCTTGCTGGTCTAAGAATGGAGACTTGTTCATAGGAGATGGTCGAGAAGGGCAGGCTGGAAGCAGATGAGAGAGCAGTCTTCTGTAGTCAATACCTAAATATATAAATAAATAAATATACATGCATATATATGGTATGAATTCATCAATATTCAAATATTTTAAATTATTATTGTATCAGTGACTTTGTAATGATAATTCCAGAGCTAGAGCAACATCATAATTCTGTTAACAATGAACTTAATATTTTCTGTTCTTCTCTGTCTTTTTCCAAGTACATACACATACAAATTTTTTCAATTACATTTTTGTTTTATGATAATTAGGAGATTCCCATGCAGTTGTAAGAAGACATATAATTTTTAGGTATATAAGTGTAATTTTCTTTTTTTAACAAAGAGAATGTATACATATTTTCTTATTGTAAAAGCAATGCTTCTCCATCAGAGAACTTGGAAACATGCCCAAGTACACATGCATGCCCTCCACAAGTGTCCTGTGGTTTCTCCTCTGGGGTGACTTGGCGGAGAGATTGTTCAGAGGTTCTTGTAGCTCTCTCTACAGTGATGTTTCCCTTTCTGGATGGTGTAATCTATGTAAGATAACATTTCTATTATCTAGTCAAGATTATAAGTTTCTGACTTCATTTTTGCTTTTTTTTAAAGGTTTGTTTATTTGAAAGGTAGAGTTGCGCATAGAGGAGGAGAGTCAGGGAAAGGTCTCCCATCTGCTGGTTCACTCCCCAAATGGCTGCAACGGCCGGAGATGGGCAGGTCCAAAGCCAGGAGCCAGGAGCTTCTTCTGGGTCTCTCACATGGGTGCAGGGGCCCAATAACTCGGGCCATCTTCTGGTGCTTTCCCAAGAGCATTAGGGAGCTGGATGGAAGTGGAGCAGCTACAACTTGAACTTGTGCCCAAATGGGGATGCTGGCACAGTAGGTGGTGTCTTTACCCACCACGCCACAGCGCCTGGCCCCATCTGTTGCTGTTTTTCTGCCTCTTCCCTATACTGATCTCTCAGTGATCTCACTGCTCTATTTTGGGGGAAAAAAAAAGGAATAAAAGATTTACTCCTTTGGTATGTGTCATGGAACCTGACACTATCATACTAATATTTTAATAGGTCTAATAGTATTCTAAAAGGTCCAGACAAGTAAAGATGTGACAAGATGTGTGTGAGGGATTGAGGATCCTGCAGTTCTATTTTGTCATTACTTTATTTTAGAAAATAGTTAATGACTGCTCTGAATGGTAGCTGGATTGATGCATGGCTAAGGAGAACTCCATTTAGCACAACATGTAGGATTCCAGACTATGGAGCTCAGTCTTATAACATGTAAGATTCCAGACTACGGTTGGGATTTCTAGATCTGCCACTTTGCAGTTGGATGAGTGTGGTTGACTGAGAAATGGGTCCCCAAGGAATATCCATGTTCTAATCCCTGGAACCTGTAAATGTTACCTTATATGGAAAAAGCATCTTTGCAACATGGTTCAGTTAAAGATTTTGAGATAGGGAGACTATTCTGGATTCTCGGGGTGGACCCTAAATGTAATTACATGTACCTTTTAAAGTGGGAGTGAGAAGGAAATATGACAAACACATATATACACACAGAGAAGGCAGTGCGATGACAGGACAAATTTGAGTGATACAGCCACCAGTGAGAGGCATGCGATAGATTCTCTCCTGGAGCCCCTAGAAAGAGTGTGGCCTGCTGATGTCCTGATTTCAGCCCATTGATATTGATTTTGGACTTGTGGCCTCCAGAACTGAGCGCATGCATTTCTATTATTTTAAATCATGAGGTTTGTGCTAATTTGTTATGGTGGCTGCAAGAAAGGAATGCAGTGACTTGTAGGCAGGTCTAGTCCTTCACTTTGGCTCTACTTCCTCAGCTATCAAAGTAAATAATAATAATAGTATCCACTCTTTAGGATTCTTAAAAGACTAAAATTATGTTTATGTAATGTATGATGTAAGAGAATATATATATGTAAATGACTTTAATCTTAATAACAAATATTTTATATATAATGCATATTCATTATATATGTAAGTTTCTCTTGAACGTGCTATACACGCACATGCACATGTGTGCACACACCCCTAAAGGCAGAAGATCCTAAGGCTCCAGGGAGTGGGAAGTGCCAAAGCTGGAGGAAACTTAGGTCTCTAAATCACCATGTGGTGACTGGGAGCACCTGTGTGGAACTGACCTGTGAATAAATAGGGGTTTATGTTTCTCTACTGAAGTGAGCTGTTAATTTGGTGGCTTGTTACAGTAGTTAGTATTATGCTAGCAAATAGTACAGAGTTCTTCATACTTCTACCAAGTAGCTTTTCCAAACCTTCTATCTTATTTGTAGAAGAGTCTGTCAGGGAAAAAACTGTTGATGCATGTATCCAACAATTTTAATCATGATGCTATTGGAAGAAAATGAGCACAGAATCCATAAAGGTCATTTTCAAAGAGTCACTTTTCTGATTCCAGTTGCATTCTAATTAATATCATGGCGTGTTAGCAAACTAAGTAAGGAGCAATTATTAGCTATCAGATTCTAGGTTTGGGAGAGAAATGATGGTATATTATGCATAATTTTTGCATCATTAAAAATTAAATCCCATAAGCATAATGATTCAAACATCAGGCTTTGGCAGTGTCTGCAGATGATAAACTATGGTATGTAAGGAAACAATTTACTAGGTAATGGTGCAATATTTTCTGAAGTTAGACAGAATCTACCCCCCCCAAGGAAAAATGCTATGTTGTACCGAATTATTTCTAGTCAGAGCTTATTAGAGGAATAAGAATAGTTATTTAATGCTTTTTTTCTATATTCAAATCCATAGATGTGTAGGATGAGTTTTCGTAAAGAAAACTTTCATAACTTCCCTATTTTATAGAAGGTAATTTAACAAAAAGAGCAAGGATTTCATTGTCTAATGGACTCATGTTCAGAGTCTTAGGTCAGTGACCATTCTGTGAAGTTTCAAATATCTTAAGCTCATACATTTTCTGTTTCACCACCTGTCAAAATGAGATACTCCATCTTACCTCATAGAGTTTTTATGCAGATGAAGTGTGATAACAGCATTAAACACTTAACGCGTGGTCCAGCATGTGGTGGATGCTTAGTTATTTGTTGCTTTCTTTCTTTTTTTCTTCCATGTTGTTGAGTTTTCTCCCTCAGGATAGTACTTAAATGAAATTCTGCTGCTACTACGTAAGTCAAGTTCACAGCAAGAATCATGGTAGGGATCAAAACCTGCTGATTGAACTTAGAAGAGCTCTTGAAGAACCTATCTGTGAGATCCGAGCACTAAGCCAGGTACTGATGCCACCAACAGGCAACCCCTACAGAGGGGAGAATTACTGGTATTTGTACCTCTTGCGTTACTTTTCTTGGGTACTTGTCATGGTTTCCCTCAGTGATGATTTTAAGCTTTCAAGGCAATCAAATGTAGCTTGTATCTGAGACCATTGATTGTGGTAGGGCATGTGTTAATGAGCATAAGACCCTGCATTTCACCTTTCATGGGTTCCAGAGTCACAGTGCTGTCATCCTAATCCCCAACTGGTCATCACACAGAAGTGTGCCCTATGTCCATTTTGGGACTAGGAGAGAATCAAAGAATATTGGCTTGAGAGTCAAGGGCTTAAACTTCCTGGTTCTTCTATCATTCCCATTTTGTCATTTGACCAGCTTATATCCACCCTTGAGTTTTGGTTTTATCTTTTGTAAAATAGTGGTGAAGGAAGGCTATTATTCACATGGTTTTAATTGTCTTATTTATACCTTGATATAATTAATGTCAATACCTAATTCATTGTGTGTCTGGGGAATTCATTGCCTGAGGTTTAAAAGTAAAATTCTATAGGAAACACAAATAATAAATCCACAATAGGGGATTCTATTTTTTTTTTGAAGAGGGAGAGGGTGAAACACTAGAAACTAGAGGGTGAAACTTTAAGTTTGATATGACAGGAAATGGGATCATTCACACTGATCAACTAAGAAAATAATCACACAGGGTGGGCATTTGGTGTAGCTGTTAAGACCCCAGTTGGGATATCCACCTTCTATAGTGGAGTGCCTGGCTTTGAGTCCCAGCTCCACTTCCAATTCCAGCTCCCTACTGGTGTGCACCCTGGGAGACAATAGGTGATGGCTCAAGGATTTGGGTCCCTGCCACCCAAATAGGAGACCTGGGTTGAGTTCCAAGGTTGCAACTTCAGCCTACCTCAGCTCTAACTCTTGTAGACATTTAGGGAGTGAAACAGTTAATGGGAGATTTCTTTCTTTCTGCCTTTCAAATCAAATGAAAATAAATTTAAAAAAAATCATAAAGAGAATATCCATTTGCAACAATGTCTATCTGTCTCACAAACTTTGTGGTAATAAGTAGAAACAAATGACTAAATATATTTTTCTTTAAAAAATGATGCCAATTCACCAAATATTTTACACATACACACACACACACACACACACACACCACATCACATCACATACAGCTACAAAAGTGTAATTGGATACTCACAAATTAATATAGCTTGTCTGGGCAGAGACTGTGCCTAAGTGCTTTATCAAACAATAGATCTTACAAAAAATTGAGTAGAATGCTTTTTGAGTGAAATAGGATTAGATAGAAGGACACTGTCTTATACCTTTGAATATCTTATATCTCTTTGTGCCTTTGAAGTTTTGTTTCTGTATTATAATATTAATGGAGAGAATAGAACAGAAAGAGGAGTATGATGCAAGCTTATTCTTTCTTGCTCAGAGTGAGGAAGTAACACTTTTCAAAAGAGAAAGGCCAAGGAATTTGGAAAGCATAAAACATAAAAGATTGGTGATTGGGATAAATGGAGATTTCATTAATTTTTTTCACTCAGTGTATATTTATCAAGGGCGTATTGTGAACCACCACCTAAAAGCCTCCTAAAGGAAAAGTGAATGGGCAAAGATGAATTTGATGTTCATAAAAGACGCGTAAGACCTGATGTGGGATTATTTTATTAATACGCGAGATTTCCAGGACACAAGAGAATGGGAGTGGGCAGTGAAGGATGAGGTGAGATTGTGTGGGAGGTGAGGTGGGGTGGAGATGACAGCTCTAGAAACCATACTGGCACAGAGTAAGAGAGGCAGGAAATGTCTTAAAGGAAAATATCATAAGCATTGGAAAAATAACTGGAAGAGAAGATGGGCTGCCTGAAAGCAATGGAGAAGAATATGGTTAACATAAAAACACATTGACAAGCCTGCAGGAATTATTGTGATGACTGCACCTGGAATTAAGACGTCTTAGGGGAGTTAACTGGGATGATTTTACTCCAGCACAAATAAGTTGTCAAGAAGGAGGAAGAACGTAATTCATTCTCAGTAAAGGAAGAGCATAACTCTTATCTGCTGTAATGGGAGAACTTGAACCTATAAAAGGCAAAGCGGAAAGGAGCCAACCTGATTTGGTGTAAGTCTCTCGACATAGATAATCTCATTAATACTGACAACTCTAGGACGTTATAGTCATTTTGCATAAAGAGAAATCTTAAGTAATTGGTCAAGGTCACAAAGCTGGTAAGTTGTAGGCCTGGAATTCCAAACCAGGTTTATCTGCTTTGAAAGAAAGCAAGGGTGATGCATCAAGATCCAGCCAGGAGACTGAAATCATGCCAATTAGTTTTACAGATTTGAACACTGAAAAAGCATTATTGGTGTTAAAGAACTGAAAAGACCAAAGGTAAAATTGATCATATCATAGTGATCACTCACTGGGTTGGGTGAAAAGGGAGGCATTTGGAATCACTACACTACAAGCTGGGAGGAAGGGCCCCTTGGTGCTGGAACCCAGATCTCTGGGGAAGGTGTGCTCCTTGCTGGTGATGAGGAGAGTGAATGGTGGGAGCAGGTTGCTGCTACCAGGGTGAAGAAACCCTACTGGGGTGATTGAAGGTCCTAGGAACAGGAAGTCAACAAGACAACAGACAGAGTCCTGTCCTCCTCTGCTTGCCCTCCAGTCTCCATTAGCGCCCCCTGTTGGCCCCCTGTTTAACAGAAGGCAGGTGGAGATGATGGAAGGTGGTTGACAGTGTTGCAGCCCCCAAGAGCATGAAGCCCATTGTGGGAGGGTGAGTTTGAAGCTGGACATATCACTGGATGACAGAAAAGGAGATGCTTAGGCCGGCGCCGCGGCTCACTAGGCTAATCCTCTGCCTTGCGGCGCCGGCACACCGGGTTCTAGTCCCGGTCAGGGCGCCGGATTCTGTCCCAGTTGCCCCTCTTCCAGGCCAGCTCTCTGCTGTGGCCAGGGAGTGCAGTGGAGGATGGCCCAAGTGCTTGGGCCCTGCACCCCATGGGAAACCAGGAGAAGCACCTGGCTCCTGCCATCGGATCAGCACGGTGCGCCGGCTGTGGCGGCCATTGGAGGGTGAACCAACGGCAAAAGGAAGACCTTTCTCTCTGTCTCTCTCTCTCACTGTCCACTCTGCCTGTCAAAAAAAAAAAAAAAAAGAAAAGGAGATGGTCAGGAGCACAGTCTCGCTATCACCACCACCTCCCCACCCAACAGTTCTGAAGGATTTTATGCTTCATGGAAAGAATGATTGATTTTAAACATCAGCTTTGGAGAAAGGGACATGAATAGCCATATTTCATTAATTTCCCAAATTAGTGTAAAATCAAAACTACAGAATATATCTGAAAGAAATACAGCTTGAGAATTTGCAAGTACATACAGAATTTCTTGTAATGGGCATTAACTAAGTAAAAATGCATATTAATTGTCCTGTGCAGTGAAGTAGAAAACAGACAGTTCATTGCTTAGCTATTGAAGATTCTGTTATTAGGACAGAAGGACAATTAGCTTTGAAAGCAATGTTGCGAATGTATTCTTTTTTTTTCTGCATGTTTCTTTTTCCCAAAAGAGATGAGAACAAACCACACTATTTCTACAAGAATTACATTTGTGAAAAAGCAAATGCCTAACAGGAATTAGGGAAGAAAAAACATCTCCAGAGCCCATGGGAATGACAATTCCTGGTTAACTGTAAAAAATGGAGAATGTAATTGAGACAGATGACCAGATTTAGGAAAAATAAACCTCCCCATTAAAATCTAATTAAATATTTGCATTTCAGCATTAAGTTTCCTCTCAAAAGTTTTGTGAGCAGCAGGGTGACAGTGAAGATTATTGACTATAATTTGCCGAAGTTTTTTAAACTAAATTAGTTTTGTGCAATATATGGAAGGTTTACTCAGCTGCACTTACACAGTGGCTGCTTTATTATTCTTTTAAAGTGAATCATTTATAACTGTTCTCAGAGATCTTTTATCAGCCACTTATCTCCTTCAACTGGACTTGTGACGCCAAGGGATAAAATGAATTGCTGGCTAATATTGTGAGAATTAATCAGACCACAACAGCAGGAGAGTAATGACTTACTTACAGTTAAGATATTTGCATTTGGCAATAAAATCACAACAAAAATATAAGGATGTTTAATCTTTGACTTTGACTTGAACACTGAAACATGCTGGCAATACAAAAATCTAAGTATAAAAGTTGTGTGTTTTAGTTTTGGGTGATTACCTAATCTGAAAAATTTATTGTGGGAAGAAAACTCTCATTTGATATAAAGTTTTTTTTTTCCATATAAAGATTTCTTTTTTTCCATGTTGCAGCGCCTTTGATTCTCACTGGTCTTGTTTCCAGAGATGTTTTCTTTTCTCTTAGAGCTCCGGGCAGATGAAGTGAATCTTTTGCTTCTTGTTTTGCTTTCTTCCAAAGTCTGCTGATTCTGTTTAGTTCTTTCCTTTTTGTCTCTTTGCCTCACAATGACTTAGAAGAAAGGAGAGGCAAAGCCAAGACTCAAGTGGTAGAAATAGTCCTGCTGCTATTTTGTTGAAATGATTTCATATGCTACTTGCTCTCTTTTCTTAGTCTGGCATTTTCAAAAAATAGGAATAGGTTTTTCAGCTGCTATCTAAACACTGCAGAAGGTGTACAATGAAAAATTATTTCCTGATTTGTGTCCATTGAATCGAATGCTTGGGAGATCATTTCTTATGATTGGAAGCCACTTTCTCCAATTTATATGTCTGCAGCCAGTGTGTTAATGGCATCCATTACTGTTTATTTCTGGTAATTTGTACAAATGTAGGTGTCCTCCTCAGTAACTAGATTTTTTTTTTTTTTTTTTGCTTTTCTGGGTAATGCTCATGTGTATACCAGATATATGAGAGATATGTGAGTGTACCTGTTCACACAAACTCGCACACAGTTTTCCCTTTTCAGAGGTATAGTGTAATGGTGTGAAAAGCATACT